GGCGGTGGCGTTCCCCCAGCTGGCGGCCTCGCCCGCTTCATTTGTTTTCTCTGCGTTGTTTTGGATTGTTTTTTTAAGCTCCTCCTTATCTTTGCTAGCGCTATTCTGTATTTCATTCAGTTTCTTTTTTATCCATTGAAAATATTCAGTCATTGTTCTTTTAAAATCACTATCAGAAAGATCCATCAGGCTTTCTGGCTCCAGGAAATCCGTTGCTACTGTGTCTTCTTTGGGGGTTGATATCTTGCTTTGGGCTGGTGGGACAAGTGAAGCACTCTGCTTTCTACGGACCATTGGTGTGGCAGAGTTCTTTGTGTCTGAGGTGGTAGCTGGTTTTTTATTTGACGTCACTGCTCCAGAAGAAGATTGGGCAGAAACAAGAGTAACTGCGTCGAGGGTGCTTGCACACTCCAACGCTCACGTGAGTGGGGATGGAGGAAGCGCACACTGATACACGTGGGGAGGGCCTCAGGAGAACCTAAATAATGAAGGAGGAAGTCTGTTGTTCCCTTTCTGGAATAGCTTCCCCAGTCTTTGGAGATGCTCAGGATCTCCCTGTTGTTTGAGTTAGTGGGCCCTATGTACTCAGGCCAGAAACCAGTTTGATTCCCCAGGTAACTTAATCCTCAATGGTACATGAGTATTTTAGGGGAGGTTGATAAATCTTTTAGATGTGGCAAATATAATTGTCTTCCTGGCCCGAGGGCCTAAATGGGTGTGGGGTGTCTGGGTCACAAGCCCCGGCCTGGAACTGCCTCTGCTGTCCTTGCAGATCTCCCAGCAAAGTCCAAGTTTACAAAGATGGCGTTTCCCCACAGACCTCTGGGAACTGTAGTCGGTACCTGCAGTGGTAGCAGACAGGAAGGCTGCAGTCGAAAAATTTTTTGACCTTTATTTATTAAATCTCTCTATTTCCTTCACTCTCTCCTAATCATAGAATTGCTATGAGATGTAATGGGCTCAACAGATAACAATAATTTGATGAGTACTTTGAATTAATAGTACAATGTTTCTTAAAGCATCATGAGGGATCTGTAAACCTGATTTTTATTTTACCACTTTCTTGATTAGAATTTAGGGAGGACCAAAGCTCTGAATTCTTAACAACTTTCTGAAGTTCATAAAACCAGAAGGTAGTAGGACTTCCTCTTTTGAAACTCTAGTTCTGCACAGCATAAAAATCAAACTTACTGTTATCAAGTCAGAACTGACTTATAGCTAATTCCCCAGCTGGTTTTTGCAATATATAAATCGCGTGAGAGGACATCTTTATCCTGTGGAGCTGATTGTGGATTTGAAGCACCACAGAGGCACCACTTCTGGCTTGGCCAAACAGTTCCATATGGAGTAGAATACCAGAGCTCCATCTACTTCCATTTATTTTTGTTATAAACTATCTACTTGGAACTGACTCATAGTTGACCTTCCAGTGAGTTTTCAGAATCAATAAATCGAATGTGAAGAGATCACCCACCATCTCCTATAGAACAGCTAGTAGATTTGAACTGGTGACCTTTGGTTTGGCAGTACAATTCCTTAACACTAAGCCACCAGAAAACTTTCCTTTAGATGATATGTAAGGTTACTTTATTCATGACAACTTATCCATTGAATGAGTGTTACACCCTAAACTCAAAACTCAGAATTCTTAAGAGATTATAGGGTTATGTTGCCCTTTCTCTGAAGAAACCAATCTTGTCTCTGGATTGGGTTGAAACACAGTCAGTGTCAGTGTTGATGATTCCCTCTGATTTGCAAATTGACACTGGCAAAAAATTCCTTTTTTCATTTCTTTATACCTTGAAATTTCTAGATTTCATTTCAATATTGGGATCCTTACACTGATCCTTACACTAAGTGATTTGGAGAGTTAAAAAAGAATGTGGGAAGATTTAAAAACATATCTCTGGTATATTTTCCATTCAACAGTAAGAGTGTGTCCTTAGAGTCATATGACTTAAAGCATATACATAGAAGTTAAATCTAATGTTTTTTACTCAGAACAAGAAAGACTGCTGTAGGGATTATGATTTTGCTGTCAGCCTCTTCCTTTATTAATCTCTTTCCCTGGGTTTCTCAGACCTTCTGATTTTAGGCTACTTTGACACATTCATTCCTTTTCTCTTTTCCTCTAGTCAAGGTATCTTCCTTTCAAGTCATGTTTAAGGTCATGACATTGTCTTTTTTCCAGGAGCAATGGAGACACCTGGATTCTACTCAGAAGGAGCACTACTGGAACCTCATGCTGGAGAACTATGGGAAAATGGTCTCAGGAGGTGAGGGCGTGGCTTACCCAGTGGAAGGAGGCAGACAGGGTAGGAATTCTTTTTTTTTTTTCTTCTTTTAGAAAGGGTAGGAATTCTTGGTCAATGTTTAATATTCTCTTGTAGACACAGGTTCACTCTGAAGTTCTCAGGATGGTAAATCATTAGAAACACACTTGGGAACTAAGGTGTGGAAAAGCTAGCAGAGGTATAGCAAGAACATCTTTACATTCAATTGTTGGAGTTCAGGTGGGTGCACTGCATACAGTAACTTTTTTATCTGCACACATTGAACATGATAAAAGTGTCAGGTTGAGTTACTAGCTCTGTGTCACATGCCTCCTAAGAGCTGAATCAGAATGGAACTGAGTATAGCCAGCTTGGAGTTCATGCTCTTTTCTTCTGGACCACACTGCCTCTCCCAAAGGAGCATGAGCTTCAGTCATGACTCTAGACCCGGCCTCAGTGGTGATCTACAACTCCATCTGTCCACTGTGTCAGACTCTGCTTTTCCTCCTTTTCAGCATATTTCCTAGTATCTTGTGAGTACAAGTCTGACAGGCCCAAATCCTTTTATATGAGTGTCCTATCGAGGGCCTACATGGTTCCTTTCGTGTTAGTTATGAGAATCCTTTGAAAGACACAGCATATTCTCGCCCTTGTGCCTCCTCTCACAGGCTCACAAACTGACCTCTCTCTGAATCAGGCATTTCCAGTCCCAAACCTGACCCAGCTAAATCAGCAGAGTATAGAGAAGAGCTGGAAGGACACTCCCTTGATGCTACTGAGAAGAACCCAGCACCCACCTGCAATGGTGAGTCAGCTTCCGTTGGTCCTGAGACATTTCTGACCTTCCCTTGTTAAGGCTGATTAACGTGGTGATCCTTTGGTTTCTGTTCTTTTGTTATAACTAGCCATGGTTGGGTCAGCTCAGTTCTAATATTGATGGTGGATCTCATTACTGTTTCTAGAGTTGTATTTGACATATGCATTTGACAATTGAACAATAGATTCACATACATCTTCTCTCCACATTTTTTGATAGAATTGTTGTGCTTGTTTTTCTTCAATGAGAATTAAAATTGATACAGATTGAAACACATACACAACTGTTAAAAAGTTTAATAGCCATCATTCTCCTTACTGGCAAGATTGTTCATAGTAGTCTTCTAGTCTGAGTATAATGAACAGTAACCACCTCACTCTATGTATAAGAAAACAAAGCAAAAATAGAAAAAGTATTTTATCTAGTCTCTAACTTTTGTTAAGCATTGTTGTTGTTGTTATGTGCTGTTGAGTGGACATAAAACTCATATGGAACTGTGAACCACATTTCTGTACCTTGCCCTAACTTGTGCACTTATCAGAACCTACAGCATGCTCCAGCCCATTGTTACAAGCAGTGTTCCAGTCCATCTTCTTGATGGTCATCGTGTCTTTAGCTGGGCCCCCGCCTTTCCTAACATGACATCTTTTTCTAAGGACTAGTCTTGCTTGCCAAAACAGGAATTCCTGAGGCATTTGCTAGAGCAGGTCAAGGACTGCAACCCTCACTATGAATTGAAGCTCAACATCAAGAACATAAAGATTTTGACCACTGGGCCAATTGGCAGCATAATCATAGATAGTGAAGAGATTGAGATTGGTAAGAGGTTCAGTTTGCTTGGCTCCACAATCAACACTCTTGGGTCCAACTGTCAGGAAATCAGATTAATTACATTGGGAAAATCTGCAGTCACAGATCTTTCCAGAGTACTGAAGCACAACAGTGTCAATCTATAGACTAAGGTGCACTTGATCCAGGCTTTGTAGTTACTCACTATACATCAGAGAGGGGGACAAAGAATAATAGAAGAAGAATTGATGCCTTTGAACTGTGGTGCTGGAGAAGAGTATTGAATATACCATAGACTGCTAGGAGAACAAAAAGGTTCATCCTAGAGAGGGTGAAATCAAGCAGCTCTTTGGAGAGTTTTAAAGGTCTGTTGCAAGGAAGAGACCAGTCTTTGGAGAGGAACATCATACTTGGAAAAGTGGAGGAACAGTGCAAGAGAGGAAGACTCTGGATGAAATGGCTTGACTCAGTGACTGGGGTGGTAGGGGTACTTGTTTCAAAGACACTGAGGTTGGCTCAAGATAGAGCTGTTGTACATAGGGTTGTTTGGAGTTGCAAGTGACTTGAAGGCACATAACCACAACAGCAGGCCCATCCAGATAACATTTTCAATGTATGGGAGATGAAGTTTCACCATCCTTGCCCCTAAAGAGCACCCTGTTTGTACATTCTCTAAAAAAGAAGTCTGGGTTTTGGCAGTCCATGGCATAGGTACTCAGTATGCTTCGCCAGCACAGCAATTCAAAGACATTGATTCTTCTTTGTTCTTCTTTATTCATTGTCTAATTTTCATACTATAGGAAACAATTGAAATTAGCAATTTTTTTCACTTGAGTCCTGGGTGCCTAAATCATGAAAATGATGCTTTTGTTCTTTAGTACTTTGGTGAGGTCCTTGACAGCAGATTTTCCTAATGCAGCATGTCTTTTGATTCCTTTTTTTTTCTCTAAATACAAAGGAGGAGGAACAGTTGTAAACAGACCCTAGTGATTGGAACATGGAATGTGAGAGCCATGAAAATTAGAAATTGTTAAGAAAGAAATGGAACGCTAAATATTGACATATTAGGCATTGGAGAGATGAGATGGACTGGCATGGGGCATTTTGAGTCAGATGACCATATGATATATTACTCTGGAGATG